AGATTATGATAGAGTGACTTCATTTAGGATTTCTCAGTCATTCATATATATATATATTGCGATGTAAATCTCAGTTAATAAATGCAATCTTTGTACCCTTTCTCTATATTTCACAATTTGTTATCTCTTCTATTTTGCTTCATTTTTCTGAAATTTCAATTCAAAATTACACCGTTTTGAACTGTGCTGCATGGGTTTCTTATCAACACCAATTATTACTTATTAGAGGCAGTCCTTATATTTTTTTTTTCTTTGAAAAAGGTAAGATAAATTTATTAAATGAAACTAATAAAAGTACAAAACAGAACCTGCCAACAATATGGCAGGCCTGAGAACCCCCCATTACAATCACCAAATTGACTGATTTCTTAGTAACTGAGTTACATTTATATGTCTGAATTCTAGGGTTAATGAAATCCAAGAAATCAGTTTACCAACAGTCATCTGAACTATTTCCTCGGGCCTTCTCACTCTTTGCTTAAAAATTCTGTTATTTCTCTTAGACTAAATAGCCCAAATCACTGCTGTCAGGATGAAAATCCAGATCAATTTTCCTCTTTTCTTCAAATTATCAAACTTCTAACTACAAAGCAACTCCTTAACCAATTTAGGCATGACCCAACATATCCCCACAGCCTTCAAGAAATGATACCACACCTGGGCAGCAAACGGGCAATGAACATACCAATGTTCATTGGCGGTCCTTATATTCTTGTAACCTAATTATGGAGTCCCTTCAAATTAGTTAGAGACAAAATCATATAGATTGGATTATTTATCACGATTAAACATGCCAATGTTCCATACACACAAGGTGTGGGTTTCATGTGGGCTCGTGTGTATAGAATACTTGCATATATTTACTCGTTATAAGTAATTCAGCCTGTTAATGCACAATCCTTGTCTCCGGTCCAGCCCAACCAGTTCCTATTGTCATGCGTGGGGTTCTACATTGAATGAATGGTTGATGATAATGATAATTTATCTTTTTACAAAATGAATTAATCAGAAATATAAAAAAAAAAGGGTTTGCTGAAATAGAAAGTCAACCACAATATCCACGTTGTTGTTCGCTTGAACAAATTTCCACTTAAAACTAGAAATAATGCAGTTTCAGGTCTACATCAAAGAACCGGTCGACATCGACCCAAAATGCTGAAAAAACAAAGCAAGAATATATGGACAAATAAGAATAAAATGCTATCCATTTTATTCTTAACGGATGAGCTAGACTCAAGGGTATTATAATATTATAGGGGGATACGGGGTGGGGACAGGGCAGGTTGCACATGAGGTCCATTCCAAATTATCATTTCAACTGGTGGGTCATTGGTAGGTGGCATGGGGGTGGATATGAGCTGAGTTAAACAAAATATTAGGTTATTTGAGCTCATTTCCGCACCAAAAAATAAAAAAAAAACATAAGACTTGAGTTTGGGCTTGAGCATGATTCGAGTTAGACTCAAAAGCTTATATGTTTGAGCATCGGGGTGGATATGTGTTGAGTTAAACAAAATATTTGGTTATTTGAGCTCAGTTCCTCAGAAAAATATAAGACTTGAGTTTGGGCTTGAGCATGTTTCGAGTTAGAAATACCAGTTCAAATTCAACTTGACTCAAAAGCTTATATATTTGAGTTTTATAATGGGCCAATCTTTGTATAAAAATTAAAAATATTATATGTAAACTTAATTAGGCTCATGAAATTCACGGGTTGAGTTTTATACTGTTTGAATTTGGCTCGATCGGTTAACAATTAAGCCTAATATTAAACTCGAGTTGAACTCAAAGCTCGATTTGGACCAAACTAATTAATTGAGTTTTTATTTTTGCCAAAAAAAATATCTCAAAAGACACACAAGTGCAAATCTGGATCTGCTCGTCAAACAAAGCGCCTCACACCAACCTCACAACATGTCCTGGTTGCATATCGGGAATATCATCCATACTTGTATTTATTATTCATGGGAAGATGCTCCTAATACAGAGTGGGATGTGGCCGTAAGGTCGGTGTGAGACGCGCTCGGTGTGGAGCAGATCCAATTAATTATTGGCACTCATGTCATGTATTGGTAACAGCAGGTTAATAGTGCTTCTTTGTTTCTAGCTAAAATCAGTTTCTATGAATTCCTTTTCTTTCTCCTTTTGCTTTTGTTCTTTCATTTTGTTCTCCAGCTGCTTAAAAACAACCTAAACAACACCAGTAATTTGAGCCAAATAAAGAACAATAGCAATGCTCATCAGCTGTCAAAAAGCAGGACTATAATTCAACCGACCATGGGCATCCATGGCAGCAAAATATAAGTACTTCCAAGGCACGATACTACCGACAATTAAGAGTATATCTAACATGTGGGCCCTGGATGTGCTAAGCAATTGTCATCCTAATTGGACTGTGTTACAATAATCTACTGCCTATTTAAGTTAATTAAAGAGATGAAAAAATCCAATCCAACCTTTCATATTCATTTTGAACTTCTGAAACTACAAATACTCCTACAAATTAAGTGTATTTGGTGGATGACTTGGTAAGGAAGACTTTGGTTAATTTTTCTTCCACTTGATATCTTCTAGATGTAGGGTTATATTTATCCTGAACAAATGCTCTTTTAAAGGGTGTTTTTTAAAGTAAAAAGAAAGAAAGAAAAGGTTTTGATCATTGAAAAGTTCTCTCCTTAGACCATTTCTTTAAATTTAAACAATAAATTTGAAGTAGGTCATCTAGATTGGAAATGGGTTATCATTTTTATTAATGTTTTGTAATTGATAAAGATCAAATGCATTGAGAGAATAGTTTATTCCAGTGTTTTGAAAACTCTGCATTTATGCAGATGGCTGAACTGTTCTACCATCAACTAGTCGTCAGAATGGTTTTGATCATTAGCCTGGATCATTTATGTATGTTTACTCAATTATTTTAATATCTGAAACGCGCCTCCAAGAATTTCTCAAAAAAAAGAAGAACCCCTCCAAGAAGCCAATTTTATTTGGCCCAGATGAAGCAAGAATTGATGAGCCCAAAATTTCAGCTAGCATGCATTTGAGGAACAAAATATTGGGAGCCATCACTCATTGTCCCCATTAAGAGGTCAGCTATGCATGAATTCAGGATATATAATTGGAAACAGTAATCTTCTTCCTTTCATTTGGATGGTGGATACAAGAAATATTCCTGAAAAATTAAAACAAGAAAGCTCTTAAAATGAAGTGGTCAATAGTCATCTAATCAAGTTTATATAGATTATTTGCTTAATTAACCTTGTGCCACTGCCATACAACATTGATGGCCTAATCTAATTCTTAATCATAATTCATAAAAGGAGATTATCAAATCCCTCATATTATTATCAAATCTGTCTATCTATTAATCATGTATATATAAAGGGACTGATTAAATCATAATCCCATCAAAAGGGACTACTTAATTTTCCATGCTTGATAGAACTAGTCAATTAATAGATTGTTTTGACTATTATATTAGTGAACTAAAAGAAGGGAAGACTTGTCAAAATTAGGCTATTTCATATAATATTTTGGAAATTAACTTTCAAAATTGGGGGTATCTTTATTTCATAATAAAAATTAATTTATTCTTAATTTTTTAAATCCTTAATTAATCTATTTTTAAAGATAAAATATATGATACATCCGTTGTATAGTGCAGCAAAGTACGTACATGAATAATTGAATGTAATGGTAAGTGTATATTTTTAACAAAACATGGTAAAAGTATATTTTGTGAAACATAAATCAATAAAAAATAATCATACTTTAATGCACAGCTAACATTAGTCATAGTTGAATTACTTTTTAAATTCTATAAATTGCTTTTTGTATTAAAGTTTGATAGTTGAAGCGTTAGAAAACAATCTCTACCATTAGGTGAGTTCTATAAGAAATAGTTTAACAAAGACAACAAAGATTTATTGAAATAAAGAATCAAATGTGTGGGATACATTCAAGTTTCGATCTTTGACTCAGTATTTGTGAAATGCAAGGCCGGTCCTAAAGGCTTAACTCTTTCTGCCCATAACAGTGTTTGATTTGACTTCTCAACCTTTTCGAATAAAATATAAATAAAAAGTTAAAAAAAAATAGTGAATGATTCCAGATTATCTTCTGAAGCCATTTTCACATCACACAGAGTTTTTAAATTTAAAATATATATCACAGAATCACCTACTAACAAATGTATTCGGAGTAACCTTAACCAGAACCAGGCATACCCAGAACTGCTCTGATTGTCTTCCTAATTAATGTTGTGGGATTCATGGCCCACCAATTGCAGATTCAGACAGACTTTCAGCTTTAGATCGAAAGGTTACAGTCCTCCAGCCAGTGCAGTTTCTGGGTTGTCTCTAGCAATTAATAATGAAACAATATGCCATCCGATCTGTAATCAACATGCAAAAATTGGCAAAACCAGTGCTTTAATTGGAGGTCTGCTACTGCTAGCTCCAAATAATAGGCCTCGGTTCATGCATGAAAGTAGTCAATCCGTCACATCAGTTCTCTTTGCATTGGAAGCTTCGGATGGCCGATGAAGTTGACTTGGTTCAGAGACTCAGTTGTGTTTAGACGGGGAATATTTTCAGACTGCCCAACTCTTACCTACTCCCCCACTTCAGAACCAGTAAATTTCAGGCAGCAGGCATTATCTGATCAGCTTGACCGGTTCATGGCCGGATCTGAACGATGAACACCACAGAGAGTTGGTAGCAGAACCTCATTTTCTATTTCTTTACGTAACCAGTAATCTAGCTATATCGTGTACGATTAAGGGGTACAGGTTGGAAGTATTCCAACTTTACTAAACAATTGTCACTCCTCCACATTGTTTCCAGGGATCATAACTATATAAAGGGGTTAGTCCCTAGATGTAAAGTCATCAGCGAGTAGTAGTTTCGAAATCTCTAGTAGTGAGTTTTAGCTATACTCTAGCAGCTTAGTCGAGGGACTTGTGGTGGCAGTTGGCCCGGCGGCCACTTCAAGTTGCCGGAATGGCGCGGCTTTGGCCGAGCCTAGTGTATGCTTTGGCATTTTGCCTGATAGCCATCAATGTAGCAGCAGACGACGACGACAAGCCTTACCTTTATGCTTCTCCACCTCCACCACCGGTGTATTACTATAAGTCACCACCACCTCCACCACCTGCATATTACTACAAGTCGCCACCGCCACCACCACCTGTATATTATTACAAGTCTCCACCGCCTCCACCTCCATACTATTACAAATCCCCTCCACCACCATCCCCATCTCCCCCACCTCCTTATTATTATAACTCACCTCCACCACCATCACCATCTCCACCACCTCCTTACTACTACAAGTCCCCACCTCCACCTTCTCCATCACCACCCCCTCCATATTATTACAAGTCTCCACCTCCACCATCTCCTTCACCACCTCCTCCTTACTATTACAAGTCACCTCCACCACCTTCTCCATCTCCTCCTCCTCCCTACTACTATAAATCACCACCTCCACCCTCACCCTCACCTCCTCCTCCATACTACTACAAGTCCCCTCCACCACCATCACCATCACCACCACCACCCTACTACTATAAGTCACCACCTCCACCATCTCCTTCACCACCTCCTCCATACTACTACAAGTCTCCACCTCCACCATCACCGTCACCACCTCCGCCCTACTACTACAAGTCACCTCCTCCTCCATCACCTTCACCACCTCCTCCTTACTATTACAAGTCCCCACCTCCACCATCACCATCCCCACCTCCTCCATACTATTACAAGTCCCCACCTCCACCTTCTCCATCACCACCCCCTCCATA